CATAATCTTTTCCTATCTTTTTCTGTAATGTTAGCCAGTGTGTTTGAACTTTAAACTTTTTGGCAAGAGGATATAATATTTATTGGCTGAAGCAATTTCCTAGCTTTTCTGGCCTTATTGCAGTTGTTTTGTGTTGGATAAATTCCTGGGGAGTGTGTTTGTTAATGTCTTTACTTTTATCCATTTTCCAGTTTTCACAGTGAAGAGACTTTTAAATGTGATTGAGACTGCTGCAATTAGCCATGGAGTAAATGTCATCTTTTTCCTTTCTAATAATTTAATCCTAATTTTGAGCTTTTTCTTTAACTAATTGATGGCCAGGATGCCAAAATTGGAAGCAACTTCAGAGGCCTTCTAGCCCAACCTATATCTGATTAAAAGTCTTTTTACACTACCTCACTGAATAGTAAATCAACTCCGGAAGACCTCTAGTGCCATTATCCTGCAGATTTGAAAGCACTATATAAACATCAGTTGTAATCATTCTTCTGAGGAAGCCCATTTTCCTTTTTAATAATACCTCTAAACTGTTAAGAAGGTTTTCCATACAGGAAAGCTAAATTTGCAGCTTGCACCCGTTTGTTCCCTTGTTTTTCTGGGCCGAGTGGGGCAAATCTAATGCCTTATTTGTAAGCCCGTGAAATAAGACTTGAAGGCCAGTTATATTCCCATTAAGTCTTCTGTTCTCCAGTCTAAACATCTCTATTTCTATTAGCTGGTCCCTATGTGGCATAACTCAAGACCTTTCACTATCCTGGTTTCCTTCTATTGGCCCAACTTCAATATCCTTCCTAAAATGTAGAGCCCAGAACTGAACACAGTACTCCAGATAATGGTGTGACCAGGGCACTTGTACAGTGGGAACTATCATCTTATTTCTAGAGGCTTTGTCTCCAATTTTAGGCTACTGAAACCGTTGGATATGTTTTGGACAGACTGCTTATCTAGCTATCCCTCTTTTTATTTTGTACTTATAAAATTGGCTTTTTTTTAAAAAACCAGAGTGAAAACTTTACATTCATCCTTATTGAATTTTATTTTATTGGGTTCATCCCAGTGTCCTAGTTTGTTGAAGTGATTTTGGATCCTGACTATAATCTGGTGTTATCTGTGCCTCTTAACTTTGTGTCATTTGCTGATTTGATAAGCATATTTGGACCTTTAACTTGTCACTGATAAAAAGCAGAATTAACCTTTTGAATTTTTTTTTTCTGTCTCTGCTCAGATCTACCATTTCTGTAAGTTGAATATACAGAGGCATCCTTCTCTTCTGTTCTTTGGATAATAAGTAAATAGGTTAAAGCTCCTAGTTTCTTATCATCTTTCTTCCCATCTTATTCCCAAATTATCCATCTTTGCTATATGGTAAAGTCAAAGGAAAAATGGCAAGAGAAGGGCCTGAGTTCAGATTTTGACTGTATTTTTCATTTCAGAACTTCAGTTTCCTCATCTGTAAAATGAAGGTATTAAGCCAAACGAACTAAACTTAGCCTTCCACTTCTAAATTTGTGAGCTTATGATTCCTTAATTCTATGTTCTTCTCCCAGAGCTAGCTAGCTAAGTGATTGCTGGGGTATAGTGGATAAAGCATTGAACTTGGAGTGACGAAAATCTGGGTTTGAGTTCCACCTCAAACACTTACTAGCAGTGTAACCCCAGGCAAGTCACTTAACCTCTTTCACCCTCAGTTTCCTATCTTAAAAATTAAAGTGGTAATAGCACCTACCTCATAGAGTTGTTGTAAGGGTCAGTTGAGGTAATATGTGCTAAATGCTTTGCAAACCTTAAAGTGATATTTAAATGTGAGATGCTGGCATTATCATCATTCTTCATAGGCTGTCTCAAAGTTATATTTTTATAATTACTTTTTCCTCCCTGTCACTTCATCCCTTCCCCCACCAGGATCCATGTATAGTAAAATATTGACCTGTTAAGATCACTTTTAATTAACAAAAAAATCATGATTGTTATAATTCCTTTTCTGCCTCTTGCTATAGCCAACAATATTTATTTATTTGTTTGTTAGTTTATGTGGGGAGAGGGAAGGACTGTAGTTTGTTTTTTTTAAGCCTGTATGCCTAAGTACAGTGGGATTGTGATAGAAGTGGTCAAGGTAGGATTGGTCATAAAAGACACCTTGAAGGACATGAGTTTGGAGCTGAATTTTCCAACATGTAGTGGGTGTGGTTTGGCCTGTTAGAGGTATTTTACGTGAAAGCAATGTAACTAGCGAAATCACTCAAGACTTAAAGGTACAAAAAAGACAAGAAATGAGGCATCTTAGGGTATACTGAAAGATCTCACATCAATTCTTTACTGTATATGTGTAATTTTATAATTAGAAACAACTCTTATCCACAGGGCATTAGCTGTGTTAAATTTGGTTTCCATGTTCTTATTAACCTAATTTAAGCAGATGGAGATGAAATTCTTTGTTTGACACTTTCCTGTTTGTTTCATGGTAAAACCTGTAAAACAAAGGGATGAGCTACTCATTTTTCAGACTTGTTTCACTGAAGTCTGAGTTGATGATGTAATTCTTAACATCTTAAGCATAGCAATATGGGGTTTTTAACTTAGAGGAAGCTCCATTCCACCTCTTCTCCTCAGCTCGTATTGCCTCAAAATGATGAAGCCATACAGAAGTTTTTCTAATTGCCAGAACATATGATAGGCCTGTATACAAATTAGATAAATGTGTTATGCCATAACTGTTATGCAGGGTTCTTCTGAAATACCAAAACGTTAATGTTTCTAAGATTAAATACCAGTGTGTATCGGAACTGTGTAAGGGGGGTATTTGTTATTTTTTAATGATCTGTGTCATTTTCCTCTGTTAACTTGAATAATTTAGTTGATTGTGTATATATTCTTTGATTGACATTGGATTTATTTACCTTATGAACTAGTTTTTTGAGGAAAAGGACTTTATTTGGTTTTTAACATACGAAATGCTTTTTTAGTGTTGTGTTTGATATCCTACTGTACTCTTTTCCTTCCATTTCTCTTTGTCTCCACATAAGGGCATGTTAATTTACAGATTGCCTATATAACTTATAGATTCATTGATTGTAGAATATTAGGCTTTTAATTATATTCCAAAATTAAATTGCAAACCATTCCATACTTTCAAGGAGATTATATTCTAGTGAAAAATTAAGAGTAACCAACTAATTAATTACTCTTTTCTGTCTTCTCTCTTTGGCCTTAAAAGAACCAAAGATTTATCAAAAATTATGTTCAGTGGGCCTATATAATGATAGGATGTAAATTGTCTTATCCATGCTATCACAGAAAGAATCTCAAATGATTTTACTGTGCTGGTACTCTATTAATGAACATTGGTCATAGCAAAGTAGATTTATAATCCAAACTCCACAATTCAGAAGTCCCTTTTAAACACTTTGACAGTTTATTCATCCATCCCTTACTTGAGTGCTCACCTATAGGGCAGCCTGCATTAGAAAATTATAACTTAATCATCTAAAACCAGCCTCTTTATAACTTTCTTACTCATGGATACTCCTTTTTGTCCCCTAGGAATAACACTGACCAAATCTGTTCCTTCTTCATGGCAGCTGATAAAAAATTAGAAGATAGCTTATCATATTTTCCTCTTGGTCTTCTCTTTTCTGGCTTAACATTCCCAGTTCCTTCAGTTATTCTTCCATGTATTGTTGGAGATCCCTCATCTTGATTGGCTTCTTTGAATTTGCAATTTAGTTTGTTGTTCCCCACTACTGGTTCATGATTTGGTCCACAGCAAAATTTTACCAGCTCATGAACTTTTAATGAAACCTGTAAACTTAAACTGACTCTTCTTCCTTTCTGAGTTCTAGTCTTCCCATTACCAGCTCTCTGCTCCCCAGGTATCAGTTCCAAATCTCTAACCCTTGAGCCACTAAGGGTTGCTATGCTAAAGTTACAGAGAGTGGAACAAGATGCAATAAAGAATTTAGATATTTTGCATTGTCCATGGTCAGGTAGTCTGGGGTGGGAAATCTCAAGTTTGTCAGTGTCTCAAAATGTGATATCCAGAAACTAACACAGTGCATGTAGCTTATAGAATGTGTATTACACTTAATACTCATTGTTGAAAAGTAGAATAATTGTAAAGTTCCCAAGTCAAGATTATTGTTACTAAAACCAATCATTTTAAGCATGATATTTTACTCTAAGGCTTTCAGTGGCCATGAATAAGTGAAAACTTGTTTGAATTTCCATAAAAGTGGGTCTGAATTCACAGAGATTGAGACAAATCATGTACTTTTTGATTTCTACAATTAAGGTTTAGAAGACTTTCTTGCAAAGTGACTATGCTTTATAATGAAGTCATGTAGAACCACATTTTTTCCAGTTCTTCCCTGTTATAATTTTGTACAAATCTATTTTAAAAAAATTTAGTACTGATGTACATATGTTTGTTCAGCTTCTTCCCAAAATTTTTTTCTATATATTTTATCAGTAGCTTAATATGTAGAATTGAAAGATTCACTTTTTGGTGTGTGTTTTTTAAATAAATTTGCCTCTTCTGTCTTGTCAACTTATCGATTAGAGGGCTCTTAACTTTTTTTCGGTCATAGACTCTTTGGCATTCTGGTGAAACCTATGGACCCCTACTCATTCTTTTTAAATAATTAAAGTTTCCTAAATTTTCTAAAGTTTGCTAAATTTTACTGAGATGTTAGTGAAAATAAAGATGTAATTTTTTTTTCTCGTGCAATTTCATAGACTCCCTGGGGTTCATGGACTCCAGGTTAGGAAGCCCTAGGAAAGCCAAGCAGTGTGGTAGCCTGGGTCATATGGTGATTTAATAGATTGTGAATAGTGGTAATCATTTAATTCTAAGAAAAAGAATGATATTCATATTGTATGCTAAACTATAGCTATTTTATTGTTTGCATACCAAAAAAAAATCCTTGGTAGCTTTGTTGTTGTTGTTTTTTTAATTAAATACTTCCAGCAGTTAATGTAGTCTTTTTTTTCTTTAAAAAAAATAGGTTTTGAAAGTATTTTAGAAGGGCTTTATGGACCAAGGCTACGAAGAGACCTCAGTTTATTTGAAGGTAATATTTTTTCTTTATTTCTTTTAAAATTTCTAATTAAAATAACAAATTAAATTAAATGCCCTCTTGGCTTTTATTTTCCATATGTCATATTCTCACCATGGTTTATTTCTCATTCTATTGTACTGCAAAATTGGGCAGAACCAAATGCAAACTTGTTTTTAAGTTGTACGTTGACTAGATTAAATCAATTTCTTTTAAGTAGTTTCCTGAAAGAAAATTTTAATTTCTGTATATGACTTTTCCCTTTTTGTTTTTGTTTTTGATGAAAAATAATTCTAGGCATGGAAGTCTATTCAATTGATGATAACGGATTAAATTTTTAGAAGTTCTTAAATTCGTCATATCCTTATATAATAACTACTTTTCAAGTCTTTATGTAAAAGGATGCTCTACATCAGAAGAATTCAAGTCTTCATTAATCTTCAAAGCATTACTTTTGTAGAAAGAATGTTAGATTAGAAATCAGCAAACTTAATTTTTCTACTGCTGCCTCCCCAATTCAGTATATAATCTTAAATTCAGTTTTTAAACATTTTTAAAACTTTATTTTCCTTGCTTGCCACACCTCACTGGAATATTAAAAGAATTATTTGAGTTCTTTCTCTTCATGAGAAAGACTTAATGTGATAAGGCTATTATTGTTTAAGATTAGTGGTACTGTAGCTAATATTCTTTACTTTTTAAAGTGTTCTTTACTTTTTCTAACTAAAAGTTATCCTTAACCTTGTTTATTTAGTAAAAAGACATGTTATGTTAAACTACAACAGAGAAGACATTCATAAACTCTTCATTGTACCCTAATTTATGACCTCATCTTTCAGAATTAATAAGTACTGTTAATTCAGAGGAGTTGTAAATGAAATGTTTCCCTATTAATGTCTCCTGCAGTTAGAGTTTGACTCTTCTGAGCTGTTAGGGCTGATTCTTCAAATTGTAGCTTAGGATCTGAAAGCAGTAAGTAGATAATGGAAAGTTTGGTTGGCTAAACCCCACTGAATAAGCAGATTGTTTGCCTTGAGACAGGGTTTTTTTGTTTTGTTTTTAAACAATGGCTTTAAGGACTCCTACTTAGGGCCTTCATAGGATCATATATCTAAATTCGGAAGGGTCTCCAGAGACAATCCATTCCTATTCCCTCATTTGAAGATGAAGAAATTGAGTGCTACTAAGTTTAAGTGACTTACCCATGGGGCAGCTAGGTGGCTCAGTGGATGGAGAACCAGCCCTGGATTCAGGAGTACTTGAGTTCAAATGTGACCTTAGACACATAACACTTACTAGCTGTGTGACCCTGGGCAAGTCACTTAGCCCCATTGCCTAGCCAAAAAAAAAAAGAAGAAGAAGGAGTGACTTGTCCAAGGTCACAGGGGAGGGATTAATGAGCCTCCTCTGTCTCTAGGGCCCATCCCCAGCATTATTGAGCCATTAGCCCGAAAGCTGGTTTACACACAAGCAGTGTATTTCCCAGTTCATGTATTCTTTACCTTTAGAGATTATTCCTTTTTCATGTTAATCAAAACCTACTTTCCAGCCAGTATCTTAACTTGCAATGAAAACCACATTAAACAATAAAACTTACTAAAATAAGCATATCGTTTAACCCAATAATTTCATCGTTTGGAATATACCCTAAAAGTGATATTTTTAAAAACCAAAGCTCTCTTTGGCATTATTTATAATGTACTCCCTCCCCACCCTCACCCCACCAAAAAAACATAGAGGTAGTCTAAATGCCCAACAAGGGGCAATGATTGAATACATTGTCAGAAATAAATATTACGTTTAAAAATGTTGTTTGTTTGAACTTTTTACTTCATTGTTCATGAGAATTTCTGGTGAAGAAAAGCCAATCGACGTTGGTAGAGGTAAACCCTTCAGTAATTTCTAATCTGAGAGAATTACCTGGGACAAGAAGTTAAATGGCATACCCACAGTCACAGAACAAGTATGTCAGAGCTGGGACTTGAACCCAGATCTTCTTGATCCCCAAGGTCAGCTCTACATCCACTATGCCTTACGGCCTTTCTGTGTTACATTTTATAATACAATGCTATGTAACACAATTAAAATTGATAAATACGAGGAATATAAGAAAATATGGCAAACCCATTAAGAAATAATGTAGACCAGTGACAACAACAAATCAGAAAAATGGTATACTCTTATTACTATGACCATGTAAGAGGAAAGTTAGTGAAAAATGGCTGGACGAGTAATGAATCCTAGGGAAGCTTTAGAGGAGTGATTGAAGACTTATAATATTTTATGGTTTGAATTATTCATTTGTTTAAATGTAAATACTTATGATGTAAGTTTAATTGATTATATTGTTACATATTCCTCTCACCAAGTATAGCTTAATTAATTCTCCATATACAGGCATCTATCTTTGCTTTCTAATACCTTGCACATGAGGAGGCATAGTATAAAGGAAACATTTGATTAGGAATCAGAGGACTTGGATGTCAGTTTCCTCACCTGTAAAATAAGGGGGTTGGACTAAAAGATTTCTCAGGACCCTTGGACATCTGAAGTCCTGTGATTTTGTCCTTTTTCTCTCTCATTACCCTTTTTATTCGCTTCTCTCTTACCATTTTGAAAGACCCTAATTATGGCCATGAGTAATACTTACGATATATCTCAATTAAGAAAAAAAAAAGCCATCAAGTTTAGAGGTGAAATTGGATATAATAAAAGCCCTAAGTACCATCAATCTCTAAAGCTATTAGAAAGGACTCATAAATACCTGACAAATGTAATCATATATTTCTTTGTCTTCTAAAACTCCTTTCAAGAACCAGCATTCACACTGAGGAGAAACTATTTAATTTTCTTTAAAACAATATTTCATTCTTTTTATTTCTAATATACAGAATTTGTTACATTTGCATTAAATAGACTTTTGTAGGCAAGCTTGGGAACCTAGTCACCACTTATAACATTGTTTCCATAGGAAAATGTGTTCCAGATTCCAAACAAGGGATTTACAAACCAACTTTTGGAAGAAAATCTGTTTTAAGTTTGGGACTTCTCTATAATACGTGGGACAAAGAGTTGTTGCTAGATTGAGTGACTCTGAAAAGTGCCTTTGGGTTTTAACCTTTTAACCTAAGATACAGATTTTTCTTTATTGTTATGAAAGTTATCCTCTCTGTTCACAAAACCCCTGCCCCACTCTCACTTTCCTCATCTTATTCATTCTTGTTTATATCCTGTCTTCAATTTCTGAGTAGCATGACCCCTCCCTCAGAATCTGGTGATTCTCAAAAGAGACTTTGCATTTCCATTAAGAGGAATTTTCAGCTCTATGCTAGACTTAGAAAACAAGCCAAACTAAAAAATAGCTTCAAAAAATCCCTACAAGTAAATATTGACCTAGTTCTTCTCACACATAGGCCCAGAAATTTCTCAGATATCACAAAGTATTTTTAATTACTCAGCAGACTCTTTAGTAAGCAACTATGTGCTCATCACTGTACTGGGGATACAAAGACAAAAATGAAACAGTTCTTGCCCTTGATAAACTTATATTCTATTTGAGGGAAACTGCTTTTATGTATTTAAGTAAATGCAAAATGTATAAAATAAATAAAATATAATTGGGAAGGAGATAAGGATAGCCCTCAGCTGAGCTTAAAGGAGGCACCTTCCTCCTCTTAGAAACCCTAGTTTTCTTTCAAATTCCAGTTCGGATACCAACTTTTAGATGAATCCTTTATGAATTCCTTCTCCCTCCCCACCCCAACTTGCTATGGCCTTCTGTACATACATATTTGCATGCATGCATACACAACAGATATTCTGTACATACATGTATATACAAACTACATATACATACACACATTGTGTACCCCGATAGAATGTAAATATCAGGAACGACTGATTTTTGTCTATATACCTAGTATTGACATGGGTACTTAGTAAGTGCTTATTGATAGATAACTAAAGATTCTGAGGCAGATGAAGAAGTGCATTTCAGGTGTGGGTGGCAGCTCTGTAATATAATGGAGATCAGGAACTAGCAGCAAGTAGGCCATTTTTGTTGAAATATTAAGGAGTAAGAAGTGACTGGAATTTTTTAAACAGGGAAGTGACATGGTCAGACCTGTGCTTTGGAAATGTTGCTTTGGTAGCTATATGGAAGGTGGATTAAAGAGGGAGAGGCACCATTTAGAAAGCCATTTTAGTAGTCCAGCAAAGTTTTAACTGAAGTTTTGCCAATATCTTCCTCACCTCATATAATAGTGCCTTGATCTTCACTTGTGGAACCAAATTTCTCTTCCCCTAAATTTGGATACTTGGGGTGTTTTGGAAGAGTACATCATTTAACTATTTGATATATTTGACTTAATGATGGATTTTTAAAGATTTTTTTAAAAATACTTTTAACATAAATCATTAAGCCTGGTTATTAACTTGTCCTTATAACTCTAGCTTGGTAGTCTTCTTACATCTTACATCCTAATAAAAGTGATGGGGCAGCTAGGTGGCACAATAGATAGAGCACTGGGCCTGGAATCAGGAAGACCTGGGTTCAAATACGGTTCAGATGCAGGTTACTAGCTGTGTGACCCTGAGCAGTTCATGTAACTGTTTGCCTCAGTTTCCTCTTCTGTAAAATGAGCTAGAGAAGAAAACAGCAAACCATTCCAGTATCTTTGCCAAGAAAATCCCAAATGGGGTCAAGAAGATTCTGACATGACTGAAACAGCTGAATAACAAGAAATGAAGGAGAAAAGTAGTATAAGTTTTTCTTTTCTTTCTGCTGCTTATTAATCTTCAACTGTTTGTTGCTTTAAAGATGAATGAATTACCCTATTAATTAAATCATAAAACTTTAGACTAGATGAAATTGTTTTTAGCTGTGAAACCATGGTGTTGGAAGGAACAAGACCAGCTTTTATTCAGGTTGATAGAATAACAGTGGATAAAAGACTTTAGTACTCTTTAATCTTGTATTACAAGAAATAAAGTAACGCTTTAGAATTTATGATGTTCATTCCTTATAAGAATCTCATGAAGGCAGATAGGCAATTGTTATAACCCCCTTTTTAAAGATGAGAAAACGGAGGATCAGTTATAGTTAATTGCCCTTTAGTTACATAGCTAATTACTGTCTAAGCCAAGAGTTGAACCCAGGTCTTAATGTTTACAAAGCCATTTTTCAATTTATCGCAACAGTAAAAATGAATACATCCATAAACATTAGTGCTAGCCCATGTGGTCAGTTTCTATACTGGTATGAGAAATTTATTATACCATCCACTTCAGTTTTCCCTTCTTGATTCCCTTGGAGTTTAATCTTGGAAAAGTCTTGAAACTATTTACTAGGTGTACATTTTTGGATTCTATTAACATGTTGATATGAAGACACAATAAAAGGAAGTAGGTTAAAAGATACTGGTTAATGTGAACATATCATAGGATCAGAGCTAGTTCAGCTCTTTCATTTTACATATGAGGCTCAACTATATTAAGTGACTTATTCTGGGTCACACAGGTATCATGTGAGATGTGTATTTTGAACCAAGTCCTATCTATGGCTCTCTAGACCTAATGCTCTTTTCCCTTGTATCAAGCCAATAAGATTTTATGCATCCTGTGGAACAGTTGTGTACTCATATGCAATGTGGACAGTAAGTGAAATATGTTTTGCAATCACTGAGTATAAAAGGCAAGTTTATAACCGGGGGTGGGGGGGGGGTGTGTATACACACATATACAATTTTTTTTTGCAAAAACATGTGCAAATGACTTTGTTATGAAGTTACTTCTAGTCAGTCAGATGATTTGATTTATTATTATAACTTCATAATAAGAAACTACCTTTACTGGAATGTTAGTGATTCAAAGACTCAGGGACTTGTTAAAAACTACTTGTTTGTAGTGTAGTCCAGATTGTAGTTTCCTTAGATGATTTCATTATTCTTTGTTTAATCATTGATAATTCATTGAAACAAGAGTGAAGTTTTTGAGTATGGGTTCATTTTAAGTGCTAGCAGGTGTTATATAGTTTTATGTTTTTTCCAATTAAATTTGTCATAGGATTTTGGATTAAGAGCTGGGAAAAGGGATCCTAAGGTCTTTCATTTCTCCAACTCTTATTTTGTGGGTAAGGAAAGTGAAGTATAGGAAAGGTTAAATGATTTGTCCAAGGTTACACTGTGAAAGAAAGCAAACTTGGGTTTTCTGACTCTAAATCCAACATACTTACATATCAGATCACACATCTTAATGTTGTTTTTGCAGCAGGTAAAATCTGACGTGATATCAGATTTCAGTGGTACAGCAGTAGAGGAAACTTTTTCCACCAATGCAGATTGACAACTTTTCCTTAAGTTAGAGTTGCCTAGAGAGCTATGAAATAAAATAGGTTTGTCCTTTGTCACATCAGTAGTATGGGAAAGAGACAGTGCTAGGTCTTCCTGATTCCAAGGACAGCCCTTTATCCACCACAATTGTGTTGCCTCTTAGCTAGACTGCCTTTTTAAAAATATGGAATGTGTAAGATCAAGAAAGACATGAGAAGTCATACTTGACAAGTGCACAGTTAGTCTGTCTCTCACAGTAGTTTCTCTCCCTTATAAGGTGCATTGGAAACAAACGTTGGCTAACTAGTTAGGCTAGAAAAAATTCAAACCGAAGACAAATATTAACATAATTGGAGGATCATAGGATTAAGTTTAGCATGAAAAGAAGTTTCAAAGATTATCTCATTTTCAAATGACAACACGAAAGCCCAGACAGGCTAAATGACTTGTGCACATGGTATTGAGGGAGGTATGATTTAAACCCCTCTCTTGCAACTCTAATATCCACCGCTCTTGTTGCTATACCATCTTACCTTTCACTTTATCCGCCACTCTTGCTGCTATACTACCCTTCACTGCACCACTCAGTATATTTGGGGGGAGAAGGAATGGAATTTATGTCCAATAGTTACTGAGGTTATAAGGCCCATACCTGTAAATGATGACGGGATGTATTTGCTATAGCGATCTCACCACAAACCTGCTATAGAACGGGAAATACCTATCCATAACATTATCAGCCAATTTGAACCAGAACTGTTTTTTGTTGACTAAATTAAAGGTTGCATAGCTAGATCTAGGAAACCAATAGAGTAAACTTCAGTAGGATCCTATATAGCTTTTGGATTCAAAATCAGATTTGAACGTTGGGTTCTGTTACCATAGGTAAAATGAACAGCCTCTGCATTTCTTTCTCCTCACACAAAGGGAGAATGTATTTTCCTGCAGAATATATTTAAACAATTCGCTATCCAAAACTATTCATCCAGATTAAGATTTCAGGTACAGTTCCAGTTATACAGAAACAAAACCTCACCACCCCAAATTTTTAATTGAAAATCAGTAGAATCCAAGTCGCTAGTCTTTTGGCTTTGGTTTCCAAGTTGCGTAGTATACTTATTTCAAATAAGTTCTCTTAGGGTCCTTAGCTTACCTCCTTTTTAAAGTTCAACACATTCATTTCCTTGGGGAAAGCTTTCCTGTATTCTCCGTTCTCCTCCCAACTCTAGTTGTTATATTCTCTCCCTTCTCAAATTCTCATAATTACTTATCTGTGCAAATGTTTTATTCCTCCCAATCAAATGTAAAGTCTTCTAGGACAGGAACAATTTTTCTTTGTCTTTATATCCCCACAAATGATTGTAGTACTTTGTACATAGTAGGTTCTCACTTAATGCTTGTGGAATTTAATTGAAAATTTATAACTAGGAATTTTTTTCAGAGGAAATTTTTGACTAGGAAAAAATCCAATATTTACTTAAAACAAAGAGGCCTCATAAGGGCCAGATAGTCAACCACCAACTGTAGCGTACTATTTAGTCCAATGTGGCATAGGGTCCCACTGAACTATCCTTTATTGGTTCCCTAGATCTAGCTATGCAGCTTTTCACTTAGTCAACAATAACCAGTTCTGGTTCAAATCAGCCAACAATATTATGGATAAGTATCTTATTCTGTAGCAGGTTTGTGTTGAAACCAATGTAGCAGATACATCTTGTCATCATTTACAGGTATGGGCCTTAAAAATTACAGTACAGCCTCAGTAAATATTGGATAAAAAGAACTATTCAATATTAATTTTAAAATCAAAATGAAATTAATGAGTTATAGTCAGCTGGTGCTGGAAATCTAATAAAACTCATTTATTTCAGGTTCTTTTAATTTAACGTTCTCTTCACAAAACTTAGAGAAATAAACAAAAGCTGTGGTCATGTAATTATGGCAGCTGTTTTGAAATCTTCATTCAAAATGTGTGATGGTTCCTGCTTTAAAATTTTTCCAAAGCAAAACAGTTAGCATATTACAGGGTTGTGAGATGAGGGATTGCACACAAATTAAGCAAAATCACCTTTGAAAAATTTTATTTAATTTGTTAGCTTACTTATTTTTTGCCTACTAGAATTATTATAGCCCTGATCAAGTTCAATCAATCTGCCTTCAATTAGAATTCATGTTTAATATTTCATTGAATTTATGATCTGTTTGAAAATAGATATTTCTTCCAGTGTTACAGATTCTGTACCATTCTCTTTCATAGAAAAATCTGTTCAACACTGCAAATGTCACCTTTTAAGTCTTTTTTAATATTTTGTGAGTTGAGTAATTTCTCTGTCTATTCTTTCTTATTCTTGTTACACAAAAACTAGCTTCCTCCTTTTCAAGTCATAGGTTTCCTGTTTATGTAGTTTTTAATGGTGCCTACTGTATGTGCTAGGTGTTGGACTCTGTTGGGGATAAATATCAAGGCAAAAACATAACACTCCCTTCGGAGTCAGGGGCTGTAATTCTTCTTGAAGGAGAATTACATTCTACTGTGGGAAAACAACATGTACCCAAGTGAGTAAATTACAGACTATATCTATAAAGAAATACTTCATGAGGAGCTTGGAGGATTACAAAGTAAATTATATTGAGCCATAATTAAGTACTCAAAAAACCAAAAACCTTGAAAATTATCCCAGATGGCTGTCTATCAAAGTTGTATTATATATGATTTTGAAAACTATTTCTTTCTAGAATTTGCTTCTTGGGATTACACTGGGCATTTTACAAATTGTCATTACCTTTCACTGGTGGATTTTTTAAATCAAAATACTTTGTATAATAGATTAACTGCCCCTATTAGACATAATTTTTCAGGTAATAGTATTTATAGTTAAAAATAATTACAACAGATCATTTTACTTGGTCAGTCTTCAGATTCCTCTAAACTCAAGATATATTTATGGCAATCTGTTATCACACTCTAATCATAGTAAATACCATGTGATTTTGTAGCACAGTGAACCTGCATTTGTGGAGTTCCTGAGTTAAAGCATTTTTTTTCAAAGTGTGTTTCTTTCTGCACTGTATATCTATCTATCTATCTATCTATCTATCTATCTATGCCACAAATTTCTTGTAATTAACCCTAACTAATCTATAGAATTTCTAGAAAAGGTGAGTTATTACCCCATGAAGGCATGCACAACTCTAAAGTTTTGCACTTTGTGCTGCCTGCCTCAATAATCTGAATGGAATTTATTTTAGACAATTTAGTTAAATCGTATTGTATTTGGTTTGATTCATTTTTATGATGTTATTTTCATAATCTTAAATTCTATGCTATAATTTGTATTATTTAATTGTATTATATTAGTTTATTCACACTTCTCTCATTGTTATCCAAATTGTCACTCTTTTGCTGTGTTGTGGTACAGATAACCAAGGAGTTTAATGTTTTTTTGAGGCCGCTAGAAGCTGATTTTATATTAATGTAAACTGATGCTATGCAGAGTTGTCTATTTTTAAAAACTTTTTAAGTCAGTGAGTTTAATTAATTTGTTTTTTCTTCTTAAGACTGTGAACCAGAAGAGCTGACTGATTGGTCTATGGATGAAAAATGTTCGTTTTGTAACCTACAGAAAGAAGCAGTCAGTGTAAGTTTGAATATTGTGACATTATTTCTAAACTATTTACATAATTGTAACTAATCTATTACCTTACTTAATTTGGGCCAGGGAATATTTGTTCAATGGCTATATAACAAGTATTTAATTTGGTAAAAAAAAAAAGATAAATGTTTTTTAGAAGTCTGGCATTATGCCATACTTGGAGATGACAAGACAAATAAATGTCAACTTGCACCTTCCTTTCTTTTTTCCCCCTCTTTTGTTCCTTGGTTGATGATAATGAGTCCGTTTCCACAGATTTTTATGGACGTGTTGGGTGTATGTGAAGCTTTAGTTTGGTCCACACTAAAGCAAACCTTGACACCTAAATGTCACATGTCAAAGTTAGCATGATTTTTTAGGATTTGGGAGGGGAATGCTGGATTTAGAGTTAGAGATCCAAGTTCATATCCTAGCTCTGCCACATTTTTCTTCCCTTGTACAATTCATTCTGTGGACTTCAGTTATTATCAAAAGAGAGGGTTGTACTTGATGGTCTTAGATATTCCTTCCAGTACTTAATCTGTTTTCCTGTGGTGTAGTCAGGTCCCATAATGTTAATAAGACCACTAATAAATGTACAAATATATGTTGATTGATGTGTTAATTCTCCCGACTCTGCCCTAGTCTGCTTGTGTACCCAGTCTTCTTGAAGAATAAGGTCCTTCGGGGCACAACAGCCAGATCTATTTCCTCTTTGTTAGATTCTCCCAACTTCTAATATGATTTGTGTTCAAATAGATACATTGGAAAATTTAATAATCTGCAACCTTTTATGTAGAGGATTCATTCTGTACATCAGTATGTATGGTAGTGATGTTCCAGGATGTTTTTAAAAAATTTTTTTAGTTTGCATTACTGTTTATTTTCCAGGATTGTACACCAACTCTTGGTTCTTCACAGTCAACGCCTACAGAGGAACTATCATCTCAGGGCCAGTCCAACACTGATAAGATTGAATGCCAAGCAGAAAATTATTTAAATGCACTCTTTCGAAAGAAAGGTAATAAGAGCAATTTTTAAAAACATGAATTACAGCAAAGGCATAGAATAATCACATTTTTTTTTCTAATGAAAAGGTTTCATCATATGTAAACTTAGAGTTTATTCTTAATGACTTTTTTTTTCATTATGCCTTCCTTCATCTTCTCTTTTCTAATTTTTAGGGACAGCAGCAGATTCAGAATCTTTTTCAGTAGTTTTTCTTTAGCGGCCAACTCTTTGCTCAGTTTGACTCCAAAACGTCTCCCCAATCTTACTTTATCGTACTTTTTCTTCTCCTACCACAGACAACTGTCACAAATGTGTATATGCTTCTTGTCCTCCTTATTTTGTTGCTGATTTCAAGACCTCAAACATTTCTTCAAGCTCAGTAAGTGATGAATGTATTTGGTTGCTGCAGCTATCTCTAGCAGCCTTCCATTTGAATCATCTACCAGTCAGGTTTGGGCATATGCTTGTTTGCTATTACAGTACTAAATGGTAATGTTTATATGCTGACTAGTCTTAAGAAATTAAGTGCTTCGTTTTCCTCCTGTCTAACTAAAATATACAAACTAAACAAGGTTGCCATAATTGATAATTTTATAGTTTTTTCCAAGTAGAACAAGAAGCTTAGATTTCTTCCCTAAGGTAGTGGGAATAAACTGTAGAAATATGGAACCTCCCTTGTGTTTGCCCATATTAGCATTTGATGGGGAGCTAAATTTCAGTTTAAGGGTTTTTTTTATTCTGAATTTTATGAATACCAAACAAAATTATTACTTCCATACACAAAGTAGAACAGATAGTGAGGAGTGTACAGGAAATTGCAAGTCTCTATTACATTCAGCTTGCCTTTTTAAAAACACATAATTTAATATGTTACTTTCAAAGTTATCTTGCTCAAGGCTTCAGTTTTTACAAGATGGACCGTTTCAAGAAATCTCTCCCTTTGGAAAAGCACGTCTTGCTTCTACATTCCTAGAAACTAAGAAAAATTCTTTAGGTTATCATCTAGCTTTGAACCTATTTGTCTCATATTGTGCCACTAACAAATATATTTAATACTTTGATAAGCTCAGACAAACTTTAGTCTTTAATCTCCACTTCCAAATTCTTTTGAAACATGTAATTTTGAAAAGAGAATCTATAGTGTCTAGATATCAAGTCTAGCAAATGATTCTCTATTAGAAGTAGTATTAGTGTAATTAAAAGCTTAAGGTTAGGAGTTAATATAGAAAAGGAGGAAAAGAGTCCCCAAATTCTGAGAACTTAGAAGCTACCATATGTTTAAAAAAGAAGAAATTCTTGACATTAAAAATTTTGCGTTTTTTAAAGTACAATTTTTTTATTATTAATAATAGTCACAAATTTAAACCACTTCTATTGATAAGTTTTACACTCCATGTTAGGATTTAAAGATTTTCAGTGATTGTGACAAAATTCCTTTGTGGGATTTTCATGCTACCTGAGCAAAAGATGAAATATCCATTATAAGGATTTTTGTTTGATTTAGAAATAGCCATTGTTGCACCCTCTTTTCGTGTTAGATATTTATAGTGGTAATAGCCAAAGTTATCTGTGGTAGCAGTTAATGTTTATTTTCTTGTAGTATGGAGTTGATCTAGGCTTTAGTACCCTTTTAAGAGTAATCAATAAAAACTTGATGCCATTTCAGCTGTTTCAAGCATCTGGCTCTACAAGAGGTCTTCTACCATTGGTTGGGTGAGTGTTCATGGATATTCAGTGGCCTCTCCATTTGGCTGTTTCCTGTTTTTTCTTAACAGTCTTTTCTTAGAAGGGCTTTTCAGGATTCTTACCCTCCACATTTTTGGCATCTTAGGTCTTTATCCTTATATTTTTATTTCATCAGTACTTTTCAGGTATAACAATGTCTTATTTTCCCTTCTAACATTGTTAGAATAGAATCTTATTAGCGGCTTCAAACATGTTATGGATAATTTAAAAACACTGATTTCTGTATGCTGAACTTAACAAGTCATTACCTATCTTCCATATATTTGTCTACTTTATGCTTTTTAAATGGCCTTAACTTCTCCATTTCTCTGCCATTAACCAAAGCCCTGAATGAAAGGCAAGGTGTATCTTTTAATTTCAAAGACTTAGGAATACCTTTGAATCCTGGGCAATAAGTTTTTATATCTTTTCTCATATAGTCATTTTGATAGTAGACAACTTGGCCAACTTTGAGGAGAGTTAGAAATCCTTGAGTGACAGATTATCCTGCTCATTACATGACAGTTTCTCCTCCAAGAAAGTATAAAGAGTTACTGATTCACTGAACTTGTTGACCCAAGGTCTTGCAGATATTTAACATTTTTGTCATTTAAAAATCTTCCAAGGGTGGGGAAGCTGCAGCCTCAGCACTGCATGTGGTCTTCTAGATTCTGGGGTGCCGCCCTTTCACTGAGTCCAAGCTTTATAGAACAATTCTTTTATTAAGAGGATTTGTTCTGTGAAGTTTGGATTCAGTCAAAGAGTTGCACATGTGGCCTCGAGGTCACAGGTTCCCCACCCCTACAACTTAGCCCATTTTCATATTTCAAAGTTAATGGCTTATTGTTCTATCTAGACCCAAATTTCAGGATGATATAAATGTAATCAAATTACTTTTTCTAAATATTGTCATTACTTTTTAATCTATCTATCTATATAGCAGTGGGCCTTGTTTTATAAAACTGAATAGTATTATTTAAGTATTGAAAGCACACATAACAAAAAGTTCTCAAATGGACTCATATGAAATGTAAGAGGTTAAATATCCATGACACCTAGATTTTGATTGGGCCCTAAGTTGTCTGGATTAAGGCAGTTCTGTTAATACGGAAAAGATCTTTCTTCCTGTTGTACTTAGCTGTCAAAGTTTCTGGGTTTTATTTTATCAATCAAGAAATTAATTAGCATTTATTAATATCTACTATGTGCCAGACACAGTGTTAAGTGCTGGCTGCAAAGATAAAAGCAAAACAGTCCCTGCCCTCAAAAAGGTTTTTTTTGGGGGGGGGGTGGCAATTGGGGTTAAGTGACTTGTCCAGGGTCACACAGCCAGAAAGTGTCAAGTGTCTGAGGTCACATTTGAACTCAGGTCCTCCTAACTGCAGGGTTGATGCTCTATCCACTGCGCCACCTAGTGGCCCCTAGCTTACCTTCTAATAAAGGAGAGTATATACTTATATGTCTATACAAAATATATTGCTCCCAACCCCTGCAAAAAAAAAAGGGGGGGAGGGGTGGGGAAGAGTACAGTACCAACCCAGTTGTGAGTATGGGGACCAAATTCATGGAAAGTCATGATTCTTTTCCCAAAATTTTTTTTAGATTTGTATCTTTGCTTATGTATACCATTAACAATGAAAAGGTTTTATTTCTTTTTTTAAATATTCTCTGATAGACTTACGACTAAAAAATGATCCCCTTAATCTAAGATTTCCTACAGAAAGGAAGTTAATATCACTAAGTCAAAACTAAATACAACTGAGTAGTATGTATCAGAAGTCACCAAAAATATTGCTAATTTTTATTAACTTAAGCCTGCTCATTTATTGGTAGAAAAATAGACTTTATTTAATTTGTGTTATAAGAATTTGTGTGCTGAGAGAAAGTTTTGTAGGTATTCTTTGTAGGTGACTACTTTAGGCACAGGTATTCTGTTAGTGAATTTCCTCCGTGAAATTGGTAACATAGAGTAATGAACAAAGTCAAGGAAGATAATAAGCATTATATTTTAAATATTTCTCTACATCCATGAACATTTAAACTTACTGGCATTTCACTAATAAAAGAAAAGTTATTTAGCATGTAAATTTAGTTTACCTTGTCTGGTTGCTCCATGTAGTATCATATTTATTACCCTGTACAATTTTAACATAAGGTTAGTGTTATCTTTGTTTTATAGATGAAGAATCTAAGGGTAATATGGATGTAATATGATTTGTCCAGGACCAGCCAGTGAGATTATTAATTGAATTACTATAATTTATAGTTCAAGATTTGCTGGTTTGTTGATTAACACCAGTGTGTCACTCACTGGATTTTACTCAAGAAGATGTTTCTTGGCAATATTGGATTTTAGAAATATTTTTTGTATGAATTGGTATACATCTAGTGATCGAAAAGAATTGTTAGTTGGAGGTAATAAACGAAAGCCAAAGTGTAATATATTTCCTTTTCCAAATACTCCCTTATTTTTTCTTGAATAGCAGTACCATACTTTAGGTCCTCCTTTTTTTTTTTTTTAAGGCAATTGGGGTTAAGTGACTTGCCCAGGGTCACACAGCTAGTAAGTATCAAGTGTCTGGTCTGAGACCGTATTTGAATTCAGGTCCTCCTGACTTCAGGGCTGGTGCTTTATCCACTGTGCCACCTAGCTGCTCCTAGGTCCTTTTTTTAAGAATTAATTTCATTTTTTTTTTAGCTTTCTATTTCTTATCACCTCCTTTTATCTGCATCAAAATGAGTTTGTTGAAATTTGTTGTTGAAATCTCTCATTTGAAAAAAAAAAAGCACAGTAAATAATTGTGCCTCTTCTCCCCCTACTGCCTTTCGAATTAATTGATAGGAAAAATTCTCTACAATGTTTCTCTGGCTTTTTCCTGCTATACTAGCTCAACCCTAGTTTGAGGGTGATCAGTAAGACATCATACTAATGATGCTGTGATGTTTGATTTCTTATAATTAGGAAGTAATAGAGTCTTTGAAGGTATACATAACTTTTTAATTCCCATTTATCAATTCTTTATTGAGTGATTGGGGGGAATAGTCATTGACTGCAGCCTTCTTCATGGAAGCGAGGGCATTACTGAGTTATTTTTCTTGGTTTAATCTTAGTTACCACTTTTTTTTTAAATTTTAATGACTTTCAGAGCCTACTTATCCTTGGAGACCTCTAATAAATCCATGGCTCACTTTTATTACAGGCAAACCCATACACCACCTAAGTTATATCTCACACAGGCTTGGTGTAGCTTGGTCAGTTGCCTGAGGTGGTAGCACTATACCAGC